CCTCTTGCCCTAGAGCCCTATAGCCCTATAGCCCTTCATCCCCATAGCACTATAGCCCTACAGCCCTATAGCCCAATAGCCCTATAGCCCCATAGCCCTATAGCCCAATAGCCCTACATCCCTCTTAACCCGCTAGCCTTATAACTTTATAGCCCTATAGCCCTATAGCCCTATAGCTCTATATGCCTATAGCCCTGTAGCCCTGTAGCCCTGTAGCCCCATAGCCCCATAGCCCTATAGCCCTGAAGCCCCATGGTCCGATAGCCCATAGCTGCATAGCCTTATAGACTCATAGCCTTGTGGCCCTATAGCCCGATAGCCCCATAGCCCCAGAGCCCCATAGTCCCATAGCCCTATAGCCTTACAGCCCAATAGCCCTATAGCCCTATAGCCCTATAGCCAAATAGCCCTACGACCCTATAGCCCTATAGACCCATAGCCCAAAAAAGACTTTGATAGGGATTTTCTCCGGTATCATGATGATGCTGCTGTTGCTGATGTTGATGCTGATGCTGATGATGATGCCGATGCTGATGCTGATGCTGATGATGCTGATGATGCTGATGATGCTGATACTGATGATGATACTGATGATGATACTGATGATGATGATGCTGATGATGATGATGACGATGATGATGATGAGGATGATGATGATGATGATGATGCCGATGCTGATGCTGATGCTGATGATGCTGATGATGCTGATGATGCTGATACTGATGATGATACTGATGATGATACTGATGATGATGATGCTGATGCTGATGCTGCTGCTGCTGATGATGATGATGATGATGATGATGATGATGATGATGATGATGATGATGATGATGATGATGATGATGATGATGATGATGATGATGATGATGATGATGATGATGATGATGCTGCTGCTGCTGCTGCTGATGATGATGATGATGATGATGATGATGATATGATGATGGAGGAGGAGGAGGAGGAGGAGGAGGAGGAGGCGGAGGCAGAGGAGGACGAGGAGAAGGAGGAGGAGGAGGGGGAGGATGAGGGGAGGAGGAGGAGGAGAAAGAGGAGGAGGAGGAGAAGGAACAGGAGAAGGAAAAGGCGGAGGAGGAGAAGCTTTTCCAGGAACGGCAGCAGAGCGGCAGCATAAGAGTCGGCAGCTGGGGGGAGGGTCAGCAAAAGGAGCAGCGAGGACGAAAACGAGGTCCAGAATCGCGACCACGACCACGACGACGACGACGCACTGCTGGTGCCCGCCGCAGGCTCAAGACTCGGCCCTGGCCCGTGCGCCCGCGAGCGTTTACCTCTCTCCTTCGGCCCCTCTCGCCCACAAGGCGTCCAGGGAGAAGGGGTCCCTCGGGGCGCTCGCCGTCTCTTTTGGGCCCTGCCTCTTCTGAGGCCCCCCTTCCCCGCCTCCTCCCTCCACCTCCTCCCCCTCTCTTTTCCCTCGTCGCGCTGTGTCTCCCCATGCTCGTCGTCCCCCTTCTCCTCCTCCTCCCCCTCCTCCGTCTCTTCCTCCCTCCTCACGCTGTGTCTCCTCCTTCTCCTCCTCCTCCTGCTCCTCCACCATCTAATTTCCTTATAATGAACTCCTCCCTGCCGCACCCCGGAGCGCGTCCGTAAGGCGGGGCGAGCGTTTCGGCTGATATTCCGTCACCACTCATGATCCTGAAGCCTCCGGTTTGCAATCGTTTCGCGGATGGCGGCGGCCGTTTTCAAAATGTGGTTCTCGTCTTAGCGCTGCGCGCATGCGTCGTAAAAGTTTGCAGGCGCTTCCTTTCACAGATGGAGTGCGGGTCGTTTTCAACATGTGGATCTCGCTTTCATGCCGCGCACAATCGTTCTAAGAGGTTGCAGCAGTTTCACGAAAGGACGGCGGGTGGTTTTCAAGATGTGTTTTCGCATGAGCGCCGCGCATTCGTCTTGAACGTCTGCAAGAGTTTCACGGGTGGAGGGCGGTTGGTTTTCAATCTGTGGTTCTCGCCCCAGCGCCGCGCACATTCGTCTTGAAGACGTGCAAGAGTTTCACATATGCATGGCTGTTCTTCCTCAACATGTTCTCGTCGTAGTGCCGCGCGCATTCGCGTTGAAGATATGCAAGAGTTCTCACGGATGGCAAGCTGTTCTTTCTCAGCATGTGGCCTTCGTCTGAGCGCCGCGCGCATCAATTTTCATAATGTGCCAGAGCGTCACGGGTGGAGAGCGGGTGGCATTCAAAATGTGGTCTCCGCCTGGAGCGCCGAGCATGCAGTAGTGTCACGGCTGTAGGGCGGGTGGTTTTCAAACTGGCTCGTGCTTTGGCGCCGCACAGTTTCGTCCTAAACGTTTGCAGGAGCTTCACAGATAGAGGGCGCGTTCTTTTCAATATGTGGCTCTCGCCTTAGCGCCGCGCACATTCGTCCTAACAGTTTGGATGGTGGGCGGACCGTTTTCAAAATGTGGTTCTCGCCCCAGCGCCGCGCGCGTTCGTCTCAAAAGTTTGCAAGAGTGTCACGTTTTGACGGCGGGTCGTTTTCAATATGTGGTTCTCGTCATGGCGCCGCGCGCATTCGTCTTAAAAGGTTGCAGGAGTTTCGCGGAAGGAGGGTGCCCTTCTTTCCTCTTCTCCCCCCCTTTTCCGTCCTCCCTCCTTCCCTCTTCCTCCTCCTCCTTCTCCTCCTCCTCCTCCTCCTCCTCCTCCTCCCCCCCCCCTCCTCCTCCTCCTCCTCCTCCTCCTCCTCCTCCTCCTCCTCCTCCTCCTCCTCCTCCTCCTCCTCCTCCTCCTCCTCCTCCTCCTCTCTCTTTTCCCTCCCCCGTCCCTCGACCTCACAGGCGATTCCTCTTCGTCGCACCACCGGGCGTGTCACCAAGGCGAGCCCGTCGTTTCGCCGGAGACTCTGTCGCCGCACGGGAGTCTGAGGCTTGCGGATGCCCCGCGGCTGCCAGGATGAGGGGCGGGTGGTTTCAAACACATATGGCGCACATTCGTCTGAAAGGCAGCCAGTGGTTACAAGGATGGAGGATGGGTGGTTCTCCATAGGTGGCTCTCAACTTCGCGCCGCGCACCATTCGTTGCTCTCAAGTCTTGCGACACGAACGTATTCATTCACAAGAATGGGCGACGGATCGTTGTGAAATTAATTGTGGCTCTCGTTCTCGCGCCGCGCGCATTCCTTGTCAATGCTTCCGGACAAAAAAGCTGTCAGGGGGAGGGCGGGCCGTGTACAGAGTGTCGCCGTCGTTGTCGTACCGCCCGCTCTCTTCTTGAATTCCTCGAGCGCTTGGCAATTGTGGAGGGTGACTTCTTTTCAAGGCGTGGTTCTCGCCGCGGCACCGTGCATATTCTTTACAGTGGAAGCCCATGCCAAGAAACATCCTGCTTGCCTCCAGGGTGCCCTTGGTTTCTTGTGTTTCGATAGTTTTGCTATGGATGGCGTGGCGTTCCCACACCAAAGAGCAGTGGACGTCCTGGGGTTCCAAGGTTGGGTTTCTTGTGGAAGGTTTCTTGTGGTCGAGTTCCTATTGTATTTTCCAACAAGAACGAGGATGCAAGGCCAGTGGATTGCAACATTCTCGTCTCAGCTCCAAGAGTTGCAAGGATTGAGGGTGGACTGTTTTTTTAATGCTGCTGCTGCTGCCTCCGCTCCGCACGCATCCGTTTCTCCAGGGTGCCCTGGGTTTCTTGGGCTTCGATGCTTTTGCGATAGAAAGCGTGACGCTCCCACACCAAAAATCAGCGGACGTTCCTGGGGTCTCAGGGTTGGGTTTCTCGTGGAAGGTTTCTTGTGGACTGGCCTCCACTGTACAAAGATGGAGGGTGGTTCCCCTTCCGAACGGGGCTCTCGCTCGGAGACCTCCGCATGCACTGTTGCCAGGAGCGTACGACTGTGCCGTGGGTGCCCAGGTGGAGGTCGGATCCTCCCCAAAGTTGGGTGCTCGCTTGGCCACAGCTGTCCGATTGTGCAGCACTTTCACGGACGGAGTGTTTCGGGGGATTTTTTCTCGAGCCAATGGCCGCAGCTCTTCGCATTGCTCATGGTTGGAGGGATGTGGGGCAGTTTTTGCTTGAAGCAAGCATCTCACCTGGACGAACAGGCCCTCGGGGCGCTTGTCTTTGAAGGGGCGCTTGCCGCCGTGCAGAGGGTTTTTTTGAAAGATTCTGGGACGGGAGGGCGTATTGTCCTCCTCCCCTTCCCGTCCTCCCGCCCTCCCTCCCTCCCTCCCTCTTCCCGCCGTCGGCGTCGACGACGACGATGACGACGAAAATGACGGCGACGCGACGACGACGCGACGGCGACGCGACAGCGACGCGACGACGGCGCGTCGACGACGACGCGACAACGACGCCCTCTGGAGACCTCTGTAGGTCTTCTGAGGTTCCAAGAAGGAGGGAGGAGGAAGAGGAGGAGGAAGAGGGGGACGCGGAGGAGGAGGAGGAGGAGGAGGAGGGGGAGAAGGGACAGGAACGCCAAGAACCTCGAACCTCGGCCACCGATCCTCTCTTCGTCCGTCCCTCGGCCGTCCCTCGTCCTACCATTAAGTCGGGCCTGTCCCTCTACAGGGGGAATATTCAAAAATAGTCAAAGAATAGTCAGGGGACGATTAGTTGAGTATTTTTGATTATTTATTTGGCATTTTTGGTGTATTTTTTATGTTTCGCCCAAGATCCCCCTGAAGGGGGACAGGCCCGACCTAATCCTACCACTTCCTCTCCCCTCCCTCCCCGTCCCTCCGTCCTTCCCTCACCTCCTCCCCCCTTCGACCCTCGATTCTGGCTCCGAGGAGGGAAGGAGGGAGGGAGGGCCCTTCGATCCTCGATCCTGGCTCCCAGTCGAGGGGGAGGAGGTCGATCCTCGACCCCCTCCCCCTCGACTGGGAAGGCAGGCGTCTCGGTCCCCGAGCCTCGAGGAGGAGCGACGACGGCGAGACCGACCCCCGCCGCCGTTTGGGGCGGGGCCCCCGCCGCGAGGCGATGGCCCCGCCGGCGCAGCAGGGGGGCGAGGACTCCCTGCGCTCGAAGGGCCTGCTGCCGGCCGTGGGCGGGGGCGGGGGGGTCGGGAGCCTTGAGACGGGGGTCAGTGCAAACGGGGGTCAGCCAGGGCGCCGGATCCTGCAGGATCCTGCGAAGACCCCCTCTGGTTGACCCGGGTTAGCGAGCCGCTCGTGGCCGCGAGGCGGCTGCGCCTATTGGCTGACCCGGGTTTGCGAAGACCCGCGTTGCAGTTTGGGGGGGGTCACCACCCACCAAACCACCCCAACCCAACCCGAAGGCTCAGATCTACCCTCGATTTCCAGTGGGGGGGGGCGGGAAACATCGAAAGAACACGCGTGGGACCCTTACCCCCCCCCTAACCCGAAATTCGGGTCTTCGGGTTGGGTTGGGGTGGTCTGGTAGGTAGTCAGGGGGAGCGGGGAGGTCTGCCGCGGGGCGCGGGGCGGACGAGAGGCGAGAAGCAAGCGGTCCTTGTAAGACGACGTGAAGATCGGGACAACATCGGATCGGGATAGCTCGAAATCTCCGAGGATCGGCGGGTTTGGAGGATGTATTGGGCGCCGCGGCCGCTCCAGAGCGTTCCGGAACGCTCTGAGAGCGCTGCGGAACGCTCTGGAGCGCTCCGGAACGCTCTGGAACGGGGAGGTCTGCCGCGGGGCGCGGGGCGGACGAGAGGCGAAAGGCAAGCGTTCCTTGAAGGAACTCTTGCTTTTCGAGAGGACGGCTGGCCTTTTCGGCGGCCGACGCACGGGCGGCGCACCGGCGACGCATGCGCGGCGCACCTCTCGTCGCGAAGGGGGGGAGGCTCAGCACGCCGGTCGTCGTACTGGGCCTTTGCAGTTCCTCAGGTCAACGCCCCGACGGTAAGTGCACGAAGCCGAACCATGCACGGGGAGTGCACGTCCGAGCCCACGGGGGGCGCGCCGCCGTTGGGAGCTCGTCGGCGTGCTGCTCTCACGTCTTCTCGGGGGGCAGTGCTCGGGGGCGGACAGAACCCCCCCCACCTCAGGCGATCGCAGACAGGGCTCAAGGGGGCGTGGATTGGCGACGGGTCCCGCTTCCCTGGGGAATCGCGCATTTCCGACGCCGGGCGAGGCGGTGCCGGCCACATTTTGGGGAAGGCACTTCCCCCGATCCATGGACTTGGCGACGGCGCGCCAGATCCATGGATGGTTAGTCCGTGTTTGCGCGCCACCGAAAAAAAACAAGCGGCATATAAGCATACCTTTTGGCGCGGCCCGCGCAGATGTCTTGGATTTGCTCTGGGACTCCCTTGGCGACGCCTCCAGCGCCGCTCGTGGCTCGCTCCGCGCGCCAGGGATGGGGGCTCCGGTTCAGATCCAAGAAATCCGCGCGGACCGTCAAGCGTTCATGTTTATGTCGGTTTCTGGTTCTGTAGAATTCAGGAGTGGAAAAAACACTCAGACACAATTAATCGTCGATTCCCCAGAATATGGGGAAATATGGGCAGCGGGGGGGAAGACAGAAACCTAGAAAGTGAGGAAAATATTGGGGATCCTAGGACTTGTTTGTATTGATTTGTGTGTCCCTGGGCCCCGTGACAAACGTTGAGCTGCGCTGTCAGTGCCTCGCTCTCCTGGGGGACTTTGCTGTGTTCCTGCCCGTTAACATGTGCCACGTGTGCGGAGCTACACTGTCAATGCCGCGCTTTCTCGTGGCTTTGCTGCGCTCCTGCTCGCAGCGCACGCCGCCAGAGGCGGCGGAGAGCTTGAGAGGTCCACCTGCCAAAAGTTTATGCCGCTTCCTGGTCCTCCAGAGGGGCCTGGGGTCCGGGCGTTGCACCTTTTTTCGCACCGGGCAGGGCCTGTGAGGGCGGGGGGCGGAGTGGCCACAGGGTTGAATCGGGCGTGTCCCTCTACGGGAGGAGTATTCCCAAACAGCAGCAAAAATGATATGGGGACGATCTTGTGACTATGTTTGGCTCTTGGTTGGGTATTTTTCGGACTAGTCTTTATTTTGCGCCCAAAACCCGCCTGTAGGAGAACATGCCCGACCTAAGTCTAGGGCTTTGGCTTTGGCTTTGGTTGTGGTTCTCCTGCGATGTTTCAATTTGTCGCGACGTCGGATGTCAGGGAAATGTCGAGGAAAGCAAGCGTGGATTGAGGCCCGTCGTGGGTTCGGATGCAACTCCTGGGAGGTCAAATTCTGATTTTGCCCGGGTTCGAAGTCCAGCTTGATCCAGCTTAATCCCGCTTAATCCCGCTTAATCCAGCTGACTCCCGCTTACTCCGAAGCCTACTCTGGCGTAGCAGCCCCGCAATGGGGCTTAATCCTCCCTAATCTTTCCGACGAAGACCTCCCAGCAGTTGCTCTGGCGCCCACTGCGCCACACCCACGGGTCCGACCAGGATAGTAAGGATGAGCGGTAAGGATGCAAGGGCCTCGGAACGCCATGTTGACGTTGCCCGTGCGGAGCGCAGCAGAATGCCGAAGGATGCCGAATACCGAAGGGGCAAGGATGCAAGGGTAGCCTTGGAAAGCTGCCCCATCTTTACTTTCATGGTTCGAGTGTAGTCCATGTCAGC